AGCAATAAGCACAAATAAACTTCCACAGTAGATGCTTAATACACTGGAATCTGGTGTCTGATTCCAGCAGTACTCATGAGGAGGTATTTCAAGGCACTTAGAAGGCCTTAGCCTGTATGAATTACTGTGGAGAAAGAAAGCAAACTTCCAGACAAAATTCCTTTAGAGATTTTCCCCAGAGAATGCTTTATTGTCCACAAGGCAGTCATCGAGCCACATAATCAAACTAAAAACCACAGAGCAACCGGGCCAGGCAGAAAGGGAGTGCACTCTTTCTAACCCTGTTTCCCGTTTCTTTTATAATCTGTCCCAATAGTGGTAGGGCACATCAGCTGGAGCCAATTAACCCTCTACTATTTGAATGTTGTCAATCATTATATTGCCCAGAGAGGAAGTTTCCTGCTAATTTTGAAAGTTAATTTCTTTTTACTTTAAAGTCATAAAGCTTTTCAGCTTTTCTGTATTGTTTTGCATTGTGATTCTGTTAAAAATTATTAATCTAAAGCTAATGAGAATAAAATGTTTAATTCTCCCTATTTACTTTTCCTCTATTCACATCACTTAATCTCTCTTTCTTTAGGCTTGACTTGTTCCCACCTGAGCCCCTCTTTGCTTTTCCTTCATGCACCTCCTTTGTTAGAGCTTTGAAGATACAAAATATGGAATTTGATACTCAAAAACCATAGATCTGTTATGTAAGTGTAAGTTATGTAGGGTTTTACAGGTACTAATGAAGAAAAGGTTATATATCCTTGACAAAAATTGTATTTGTACAGAAATATTTGCAACATCAACCACATTGTGATTCAGGAACAACCCAACTAAGGCACAGTTTTGATCTGATTATCACAGTCATTGTACATAGAACATTTACTTATTGCATATTCCAGTTTGAATTAAGAAAAAAAAATTAAAACATTTCAAGCAGTCTAAATTTATTGGCGCAGTCTCTACAAATTAGCTAGCTATAGAAATACGTGTAAATCTTAAAGTACAGGCAGGAATGCTTCTGTTGCTCAGTTTAGCCCTAGTGATATGAAACATTGAAATCCTTGCCATGAAAACAAACTTACCAATGCATATTATCTAATAACTACAATAAACGTAGCCTAATGTCGTAATAGTCAAATGTAAAAAACCATAACCACCAAAAATTAACATTAATTTATTTTGTAATTTATGCCTTTCTCTACCATTGCCCATAGTTTACCCTCTGCCTTCTGTCTGCAGCAGATTTCTCCAGCTCTCCTTTGCTTTCTCCTAAGAAGGATTTTTCTCCCTTGCTCTCCTTTTCAACCGAAAAGCAGTCTCAGGAAAATTGAATATTTTTCCCCAGGCTAGAGCTGCAGCTTTTGTCTCCACAAACAGTTATCCTTACAAATGCCAGCACTAGGAAACCCAAGCTACTATCAGCGCTGCTGTTCTGTGTCGCCCAGATGCGTAACTTGCTGGTGGCTGTTACTGGCTGCTCCTGACAGCAGTCTGCCCATGCTGTACACCTACTGGGGGGGAGAAACAAGCGATGCATTTGCTATTGCTATTACTTTGCTGATGGATATAAGTTTGGCCAGGACACAGCCATTTACATTACCTTCGGTATTTTAAATGATTAAATAAAATTACTTCAAATGTGATGGCAGCTGTAGTGAGCTCATCAACCATCTCTTCAGTTAGCAGCTGGCCACCATTCAGCACTGGGCTTCGTAGCAGTGTGAAATGCAATCTCTCCAGTCCCCACTTTCACATAACTTACAGCAATTCCTTCCTTAGCTTCCTCATGTCCCCCACACGCCTTCCCTGAGGTGCAAATACAGTAGCACTGCAGGGACAAAGAAGCTGTCCACTGACAAGACAGCCACCAGCTCTGTGGTTGGGTGAAGTGAGTTGAGCTGCTGTCCCGGAGAGCAGCAGCCACGTTGGTAACCACAACTTACCACAGAATGGCAGCCATCTTGTTGGTGGGCACAGCCTTACTGCAGAGTGGCGGCCATCTTACTGGTGGGCAGAGTTTTGCTGTCCCCGCAGAACAGAGATAGTCTTGAGAAATAAAAAATATGGTGGGGAAAAAGAAAGTATCTTCTTACTTCGGCTCCTTCTGACAGGTGGATAGTTGCCACTGTGTGTAAAGAAGCATGCAAGATGGCTGCTTATCAGCTAGGTAAGAAACACAGCCAAGTTATGATAGCTGCAATGTATCCCTGTGTGGTAAGGGCCTCTGTTGTTGCTATGTAAATGCTTTACCAGGTAGTTGGCTTAATATGAAGTAAGTAGCGTAGAGGTAGGAGAAAACTTCCTCTACACAGCTGTGATCCGGAAGTTGTAACGCCTTTAATGAAAATCCTCTCACAGTTGCTTTATTTTTGCCACAATGTATTGCTTCTCTGTAATGCACCTAAGCTAAAACTGCATTTTAAAACAGTCATTTTGAAAAATCAAAGTATACTCTGCTACCTGATTACTCAAGAGGCAGATCAGCTCAGAGGACATGCCCTGTTAGACGTTGGGGCTACATCTCTGCCTCTGAAGGCTGACTGAGGTGATGCTTTAGACTTACTTATGAAATCCAAACTGAACATCTAGCACAGATTTCAAGAGAAAGCAGAGGCAGGCTTGCAGCAAGTGCTTTCTCAAAAGCCTATTTTGACATCTGCTGTACCTGTGCTGCACTATTTAGGTGATGCTCACATACAGGTGAGGAAGTAATGGGAGCACCTAAACCATGTTGTGATAAGGTGTGGGGTATCATTTCCATGTTCTTGAAATTTGTCAGCCAGGATTGGGTCTGGGAGCAGATCAGGCATTCAGTCATGTACAACAAAATCTGGTTGTCCTACAGAGACAAGATTTTCTTCATTTGCAACAGCTGGGTGTTTTTACCTAAATTGCCTTGGCGTATAGAAAAAGGGAATGAATGTACATGGAATAGTTAAGTAACTCATGTATCCAGGACAGACATGCCAGACCTCCTTGGGAATATATTGATCTGTGCTTCAGCTTCAAGAATGGAGAGATTCTGACTGGATTTACTCATTGCTGACTTGTGCAAGTCCTCCCGAATGTACATGGCACTGCTGTCTGAGGCTGCAGGAGCCACTATTTAGAGATGTACAGAAGCTTCCACAAAACACACAACCCTGTAAGTAAAGCATTTCTAGTTGTGAATTTGCTCATTCCACATTTTGCGTTGATTAGGAGGATTATGTAAGTATTTATTGAAAGATGCAGATGATATTTCTTTAAGCTGTAGGGAGGCTGAATGGACTCTCCAAACAGGCACAAACAAGCTCTGGGTTATGAGCTATTATTTACAGTTCTGTATTTCATCCTCCTGTTATAAATGTCCTACTCTGTAAGGCTTTAATGAGCTGAAGATGGTATAGATTTGAGAACTAAATATTTGTTGGTTTATTAGGCTACTAGTTGAGGGAGAGATATTGTGGTATGGAAGAAGTAACTTATTTAATGGTGGGAGCACAAGAAACTTTAACATATAGCACAGACAATCTTAGATTAAGACTGAAAAAAGGAAGAAAAATATTCCAAGGCTTTGCATTACAATGAGCCTGCCTTGTAGTATTTGGTCATGTGTGCTTCAGCATACACTCAAAACTCTCTCTGGTTTGTTGAGCCCAGTGAAATGTGTGTGCTACTGCTATCTGAAGCTGAGCTCCATTGTGGCCATTAAAAGGGTGAGATGACAGCTGAACTGTCCTGGGGCCCTGTCTTGCCTTTCTGTTAGTGTTCTGGAGTCCACAGGAGATTTCTTCATAAGAAAGAGTAAATCACTCATTCAGGAAATATCTGGACATTTGACTTTATTCACTTTACCCTGAAAAGCAATTGTACCAAGAGGCTCACTCTAATGGTTAAAGCTGCAGTATAAAATATAAGATGCTGAACCCAAGAAGGAAAAAAGAATAACTGTACCATTCCATTTGCTGTCAATATTGCACTGTGAAGTCAACAAAGATCCTGTGCTGCCCTACAGATGCATCTGGGAACACAAGGCGGGTGATTGGCCAAAGGCATCCCCAAATAATATCACTTTACATTGTTCCAAGGATGGTCAAAGAAAGAGCTAGTGCAGGGAAGTAAGTACACTGAAATTCTTATCAAAGCTGAAATTCTGCCTGCATCTCTGTGTAAACAACTCCTTAGATTACTATATGTAAATTTCAAAGAATGGGTCATCAAAAGCAAAAGCAATGAATATTATTTAACTGGATTTTCTCATCTAGTTAAATCATGGGTAAATAAAATTTTCCATGTGTCTGCTGTAATCTACAAAAAGCCAAAACCAAACAGAAAATATCACAAAAGAAATACAAAGAATGTTGTCTTTTTTTAGTGCCTTATTGTCTGATCAGTCAACAGCGAGGACATGCAAACTTTCCACAATTCTTGTAAAATGAAAAGATAAAAATGAGCTAGGTAATCTCCCTGTGCTGTGTTACTGCCCCAGTCTGCAGAAGTGAAGAGAAATGCTATCATGTGACCACAGTGGCAGCAAGTTCCCTCTTGTTTTTTGCTTCTTGGGTGTCATGGTTTTATGATTTTTGGTCATCAGTATTCCACACCATAACATCATGTAATGCACTGGGGGTGGGGTTTGATATCTGCCGAATGTTCGTCCGTCGGAGAAGAACTACATTTCCCCAGGAGGCTTTGCGGTCAGTAAGGGGATATAACTCCATGCAAGGTCACCTGAGCTCTCTTCTTTGCCTGCGCTTCGCTGTCTGCGCTTCGCTGTCTGCGCTTCGCCGCTTGCGCTTCGCCGCCTGCGTTTCGCCATCTGCACTTCGCCGTCTGTACTTCAGTCACTCAACTGGACTGCACTTCTCACCCCAGGATTGTGGTGAGGTCTATACAATTCAAACAGACTCTCTCTCTCTCTCTCTTTGTAGTTTACTAATACTATATTTAGTAAAATCATTTGTTCCACCTCAGATCAGTGCTGTTGTTTTTTCAAGTATTTTGGGGTCCCCTGCTTCCCCTTTTCCAGAGGCGTGGATCCGCAGATCCCTCCGCCCTGCTGGTCACGGAACTGGGCCGGACCAGCCCATAAACCGTTGACATTTTTGGTGGAGAATGCGGGCAGCAGTTGCTTTCTAGCTGTTTAGACTCTCTGCTCTCGGAGAGTTCCGTTGGTAAAGCTTATCTGTTTCACTGGTACTCTCTAAAAAAACGTGACCTTGAAAACTCCAGGCGGACTGCCAGTATCGTAGGATATTTGTAAACTCAGAGCTTTACTATCTCGCCTCTGTAAAAAAAAAAAAAAAAAAATGCTTTCTGTAGTGAAACTTACTTTTAAAGGGCTGCACGCTGCTGCCTCTTCTTTCCTAATGCTCAAAACATACTGGGCATTAATTAAGCTTGCCACCTTGCTCTATGGAGCAATCGGCATATACAATCAAATGAAAACATGGGTGGAAATATGGACCTGGCACGTTCGTACAATGTGGCTTACAATTCCGGAGACAGCTGCCAATTTTACAGGACTGGGATTTTTTAAGGTTTCCAGTCTTACCTTTCAGCCTGTAATGCAGTTTTTGAATGAACACCTAGTCGCATTACTAATCTCCCTGAATGTATTGCTCATCATTTCGCTCAGTATTAGTATTTATTATATTTTGAGGATATCCTCCCCAAAACCAGAGAATACTGAGTGGCAGGGAGTGTGGAGAGGTCTGGGAAAGACTTTAGACAGATGGAAATCTTCAGTCTCATGGAACTTTACTCCAGAACACCTGAAAGACCCTGAGAGTCTAAACAGCTATTTAAGGCAGGAATGTTGCGGTTTGGGCAGTTCTGAGGAGGCACATATGATTTGGGGCCTGGCTAATGCTTATCGGGCCTTATTCAATACTATCCTGGAGAGAGAGAGAGCTTCTGAAATTGAAAGGGAGAGCCTCAGGGAAAAAGTTCAAAATGAGCGAGAGAGTCTCCTGCTCCAGAGGAAAAACCTTCGATCTGAGAGAGATGCCCTCCGAATTGAAAGAGACTCCCTGCAGTCCAAACTCGACAATCTTAAATCTCAACAACACACCCTCCAATCTGAGCTAGATACTGTCATAATCGAACGAAACAAGCTCCAAGCTGAACTGGAGGATGAGAGCATTGGAACCGACCAACTTGATCAACCACAAGAGGCACCACAATCGATGTCAGTTGCCCCTGTAAGAGGATGAAAAACAAAGCGAATCTCGACTCAGTTAGAAGAGAAGAAAGAGGAGGAAAGAGGTCCAGAGGAGTGGCTCCGAGGTCCAAGAGAAGCACCTCTGAGTCCAGGGGAGGGACCCTCAGTAAGATCACGGTCACCAACACCTACAAGGGCAAGAAGTCCTGGAAGAGCAAGAGGTGAGCAAGATATTGTTACTTTTGTGGATCGATCTCTGAAAATGAATGAAATTCGAAGTCTGAGAAAAGACTTCTCACGCCACCCAAATGAGCCTATTGCTACTTGGTTACTTCGATGCTGGGACAATGGGGCCAACAGTGTGTGGCTAGATAGTAGAGAAGCTCGCCAATTGGGTGGCATTGCTAGGGACTCCGCCATTGATAGAGGTATTAGTACATGCCAGAACCAGGCTTTCACCCTCTGGAAGAGGATGCTGTTAGCTGTAAGAGAAAGTTACCCCTTCAAAGACGATCTGATGCCCGAGAAGAAGAAATGGGCTGATATGGAGGAAGGCATCCGTTATTTGAGAGAATGTGCTGTGGTGGAAACACTACATAGCCCTGATTTCATTCCTGATGAGCCAAATCAAGAGCATGATCCTGAGAGGGCCAGGTGTACACCAAATATGTGGCGTACATTCACAAAGACTGCACCAGAAAGGTACGCCAGTACATTTGCAGCTATGTATGGCAGAGGGGAAAGAAGACCCCTTATAAATGAGTTGGTTAATAAGCTTCAAGACTTTGAGTTACATTTAAGCCCTCTACGAGCTTGTGTTTCAGCCATTGAAAAAGTAGCTGAAAAGCTGGACAGAATGGAAAACAAACAAGAAGATATAATAGATAAACTATCAATTGTGCCTGATGCCGATGAATACATGGTGGTCACAGATACATCTAATGAGGAACAGAATTCCCAAAACAGCCTACTTGAGGGGCTGATCAACTTGGTTTCCTCCCAGCCGGTGTCATCCAACATCTCAGCTATCAAAAGAAGACGTCCTCCTGCTCGAACAAGTGACAACAGTAAGACCACGTCACGTTTTGCCTTGTGGCATTACCTACGCGACCATGGAGAAGATATGAAGAAGTGGCATAAGCAACCCACTCCTGCACTTCAAGCACGGGTAAAAGAGTTACAAGACAAATCAACCACCAAGGTGAACTTCTCCAGAAAGGTAATTGCTCCAGTTGCTGCAGACAACAGAGGTAACAAATAGAGGGGCCCTGCCCCCAGCCGGGGGGGGAAAGGGATAATAGAGTTTATTGGACTGTGTGGATTAGATGGCCTGGTACATCAGAACCACAGAAATATAAGGCCCTAGTGGATACTGGTGCACAGTGCACTCTAATGCCCTCGAGTCACCAAGGGACAAAATCAATTTATATTCATGGGGTGACAGGAGGTTCCCAAGAACTGACTATGTTGGAGGCCGAAATCAGCCTCACTGGTGAAGACTGGCAAAAGCACCCTATTGTGACTGGCCCAGGGGCTCCATGTATACTTGGTATTGATTACCTCAAAAGGGGATATTTTAAGGATCCCAAAGGGTATCGATGGGCCTTTGGAATAGCTGCTGTAGACACAGAAGGTGCTAAGCAGTTATCTGCTTTGCCTGGCCTATCAGAAGATCCGTCTGTTGTGGGGTTGCTACGAGTAGAAGAGCAACAGGTACCGATAGCTACAAAAACGGTGCACAGACGGCAGTACCGCACCAACAGGGATTCCTTGCTCCCCATTCAGAAGTTAATTCATCAATTAGAGAATCAGGGAGTGATCAGCAAAACTCACTCGCCTTTTAACAGCCCCATATGGCCAGTGCGTAAAGCCAGTGGAGAATGGAGGCTGACGGTGGACTACCGTGGCCTGAATGAAGTCACACCCTCATGGAGTGCTGCTGTGCCAGATATGTTAGAACTCCAATACGAACTGGAGTCAAAAGCAGCTAAGTGGTATGCCACCATTGACATTGCTAATGCCTTTTTCTCCATTCCTTTGGCCAAAGAATGTAGGCCACAGTTTGCTTTCACATGGAGGGGCATTCAGTATACCTGGAACCGTTTGCCCCAGGGGTGGAAACACAGCCCGACCATTTGCCATGGGTTGATCCAAGCTGCACTGGAACAGGGAGGTGCTCCTGAGCACCTGCAGTACATTGATGACATCATTGTGTGGGGCAACACAGCAAAGGAAGTTTTTGAGAAAGGAGAGCAAATAATCCAGATCCTTCTCCGTGCTGGTTTTGCTATTAAGCGAAGCAAAGTGAAAGGACTTGCCCAGGAAATTCAGTTCCTAGGCATAAAGTGGCAAGATGGCCGTCGTCACATCCCGACAGATGTGATTGACAAAATCACTGCCATGTCTTCCCCCATTAATAAGAAAGAGACACAATCGTTTCTGGGCGTAGTGGGTTTTTGGAGAATGCATGTTCCAAATTACAGCCTCATTGTAAGCCCACTTTATCAGGTGACACGGAAGAAGAATGATTTTGTGTGGGGTCCTGAGCAGCAGCAGGCTTTTGAGCAGATCAAACAGGAGATAGCCCGTGCTGTGGCCCTGGGGCCAGTACGGATAGAACAGGATGTGAAGAACATCCTCTACACTGCTGCTGGAGAGAAAGGCCCCACTTGGAGTTTGTGGCAAAGAGCATCAGGAGAGACCCGAGGCCGACCCTTGGGATTCTGGAGTCGAGCCTACAGGGGGTCGGAGGAGGGCTACACTCCAACTGAGAAGGAGATCTTAGCTGCATATGAGGGGGTTCGGGCTGCTTCCGAAGTAGTCGGTACTGAAACACAGCTCCTTCTGGCACCTCGACTGCCAGTGTTGAACTGGATGTTCAAGGGAAAGGTTCCTTCCACCCATCATGCCACTGATGCCACTTGGAGTAAGTGGATTGCACTGATTACACAACGAGCACGGATAGGGAACCTCAGCCGTCCAGGAATCCTAGAGGTCATCATGGACTGGCCTGAAGGTAAAAAGTTTGGAACACCACCAGCAGAGGAAGTATCACGTGCTAAAGAAGCCCCACCATACAATGAACTACCAGAGAATGAAAAGAAATATGCCCTATTCACAGATGGATCGTGTCGTATTGTGGGAAAGCATCGCAGATGGAAATCTGCTGTGTGGAGCCCCACACGACAAGTTGCAGAGGCCACTGAAGGGAAAGGAGAATCAAGCCAATTTGCAGAGGTAAAGGCTGTCCAACTGGCCTTAGATGTCGCTGAACGGGAGAGGTGGCCAATGCTCTATCTTTACACTGACTCATGGATGGTAGCAAATGCCTTATGGGGGTGGTTACAGCAGTGGGAGCAAAATAACTGGCAAGCCTATTTGGGCTGCTGACCTATGGAAAGATATTGCTACCCGAACAAAAAATATGGTTATAAAGGTGCGTCATGTAGATGCTCATGTGCCCAAGAGTAGAGCTACAGAAGATCAGCGAAATAACCATCAGGTAGACCAAGCTGCCAGAATTGAGGTGGCTCAAATAGACCTGGACTGGCAGAACAAGGGTGAATTATTTCTAGCTCGGTGGGCCCATGAGACCTCAGGTCATCAAGGGAGAGACGCAACATACAAATGGGCCAGAGACCGAGGGGTGGACTTAACTATGGATGCCATTGTACAAATCATTCATGACTGTGATACATGCGCCACAATTAAACAAGCTAAGAGGATGAAACCTCTCTGGGAGGAAGGGCGATGGCAAAAGTACAAATATGGGGAGGCATGGCAGGTTGATTATATCACTTTGCCACGATCTCGCAATGGTAAGCATTATGTGCTCACCATGGTGGAGGCAACAACCGGGTGGCTTGAAACATATGCAGTACCCCATGCTACCGCCCGAAACACCATATTAGGTCTGGAGAGGCAAATCCTGTGGCGACATGGCACCCCAGAAAGGATTGAGTCAGATAATGGGACTCATTTTAAAAATTCACTTGTGGATACTTGGGCCAGAGAACATGGCATCGAGTGGATTTATCATATCCCCTATCATGCACCAGCCTCTGGTAAGATCGAACGCTACAACGGGTTGTTAAAAACCATGTTGAAAGCAATGGGTGGCGGAACATTTAAACACTGGGAGAAGCATTTGGCAGAAGCCACCTGGCTGGTTAACACCAGAGGATCAATCAGTCGAGACGGTCCTACCCAATCCAGCTCCCTACATATTGTAGAGGGAGATAAGGTCCCTGTAGTACATGTAAAGAACATGTTAGGAAAAGCAGTTTGGGTTTTTCCTCCTTCTGGGAAGGGCAAACCTCTTCGCGGAACTGTCTTTGCCCAGGGACCGGGGTCCACCTGGTGGGTGATGCAGAAAAACGGGGATGTTCAGTGTGTACCACAAGGGAATTTGATGTTGGGGGAGTGCAGTCTGAAATCCCATGTGTTAAGCATGATGTAGTGATGTAGAATAAGGGGTGGAATGTCATGGTTTTATGATTTTTGGTCATCAGTATTCCACACCATAACATCATGTAATGCACTGGGGGTGGGGTTTGATATCTGCCGAATGTTCGTCCGTCGGAGAAGAACTACATTTCCCCAGGAGGCTTTGCGGTCAGCAAGGGGATATAACTCCATGCAAGGTCACCTGAGCTCTCTTCTTTGCCTGCGCTTCGCTGTCTGCGCTTCGCCGCCTGCGCTTCGCCGCCTGCGTTTCGCCATCTGCACTTCGCCGTCTGTACTTCAGTCACTCAACTGGACTGCACTTCTCACCCCAGGATTGTGGTGAGGTCTATACAATTCAAACAGACTCTCTCTCTCTCTCTCTCTCTTTGTAGTTTACTAATACTATATTTAGTAAAATCATTTGTTCCACCTCAGATCAGTGCTGTTGTTTTTTCAAGTATTTTGGGGTCCCCTGCTTCCCCTTTTCCAGAGGCGCGGATCCGCAGATCCCTCCGCCCTGCTGGTCACGGAACTGGGCCGGACCAGCCCATAAACCGTTGACATTGGGATAGGAAGGAATATTTTTTAGGACTAACTACATATCTTGTCTCAGATGCTTAATTCAGTTCCAAATCTAGTAATGTTGTACTGTCGTTTCCATCAGTGAGATGAAAATTCAAAGTATGTCTATACCCTGTCTATACTTCCTTCCACTTAAGATGCAGCCTACTTTAACCTTTCAGTCTAACCTATAAGACCCTGGGCAAGAGCCAGCTATTGAATGCATGAAAGCATGCCTCAAATGAGATTTTTTGTAGAAGCTTGGTAAATATGATCATTTCTTTTGCCTAGCAGAGTAAAAAGCCATCCCTAACGTGGTAGAAGAATGCTGGAGAATAAGAGTATAAGTTGGTGTACATTATGATAAATTTCCAGAAGGCAGCAAGACAAACTGACTTCATTAGTTTAACTATGAAGTGACATCTGCTTCCATAGTAGCTGCCAGATTACCTTGCCTTGCTGTGCTACGATGTCAGGCTGTGCGTTTTGCACAAGCCTGCTACCATGTTTGCATTGTTCATCATGGGAGGATTAAATGATGGGGTAATAGTGGGAAGGAGAGTGAGATCAAGAGTGGGAAAACACAATCATTTTCTCCACTCTGTTATAATAGCAGAGTGCAGCTCTCATCTCTCACTTTATCTTAGCTCTGCTGGATTTCCCCATCTTCTTTTATCCGCACTGAGCTGGCGCAGTGATTTTTTTCCATTCAGTTATAGCACTATGCATTATCTCTTTCTTCTCTTTCACAACTCACCTCATGTATGCCAGAATATATTTCCAGGAGATTTCCAGGTAGAGTCTTTCAGCTCCCAGTTTGACTGGCTGTGTCATTTTGACTCAGGCCACTTTACCACAGCAGGTTTCTTCTTTGGATATCCCTTCCCATGACTCTGAATCTGAGGAACCTCCATGAGATATTATGTGTAATATAATGAACATGGCTAAATCAAAATGAAACTGTAATGTTTTCACTTGACACTTTTCAGTGTCTGTGAACATTTGGTGACAAAAATGTCATGCGGGTTTGTAAGGTTACCAGCAATTATGTATTTCATTTGTATCTAAACATTTCTTTGTGAAATTGAAAGATACTGCCAGCCCACATTTTTCATCAGTGTGACTGGCTGACAGAAGCCTTCCTATGACTTCATTTCTGATTGTTAATATTGAAGGAAAACTACGTAGTATCTACAAAGCTACAATGGGAATGCAGTTAGAGAAAGCAGCATAACTGATCATTTCACAGACATGGGGATTTCACCAAAGACAGACTTATGAATAGGCGGTCTAAGGCAATAACAGCACTTAGAAACCTTGAAATTTAATGTTCTCACACTTACAACAGCAAATGAAAGAAGGAAAAGCCATCTCTAGGACAGATAATCAAGTATTTCAAGATCAGACTGAGTTTAATGTTCCGAAGGCTTCGGATCTTAGAAGAGTGTAAAATGACTATGAAAACAGATTGATCTGAACATCTTTTCTTGTGTGACAGTTTAATTCCATTGATTTTGACAAACTTATTCCAGACTCATGCTAATGTAAGGTTAGAACGTGGTTTATCACTTGTTAGCTTGTAGCTGTCTGCAAAATATCCATATCTTAACGCCTCACTGGCAACTACTTCCTTTATTTTTTTATTTTTTTTAATCCATCAATAGTCTTTTAAACAAACTGAAAATTGTGATATAACCTGGACAGAACTGTTTAGAAATGCCTGTTTCTCATAGAAATGGGAGAAAATAAAATAGAAAATGCTGACAGCAGTAAAGCGCTGGTCATCTTCATTCTAAGCACATACAATAGAAATAACTTCAGTATACAAGAAAAAAGCCCCAATACTTCACTAAGAGCTGCACTAGTTTGTTAATAAGGACTTGCCAAAATTGGCTTTCAGCATTACCACACTGGATGTTACGTTGTTGGGCTTTTAGCAACGGTACAAGGTAATGATCTCTTCAGCTGCCCGTGGTAGAGCCAAGTTTTGCCATAGTGCAGTCTCCTTTCTTCCTGCAATACTTTGGCAATAGCAGACTTTCCTTTCCAACTTCCCCACCACCTCTCCTTGCTGCATCACAGAGGGTTGCATTTCTTCTCTGGAGAAGGTATCCATGCACTGAAGGTGGAGAACATCCCGTGCCTTGTAGCAGAAGCTGGGCAGAGAAATATGTACAGCAGCCTGTCAGTAAAGCAGAAGAGAATGGTTGCTTGAGCGATATTCATTGCCTGAATGTTCCTGCTCTCCATTAGGGAAACAGCAGTAGACTGGATAGAAACATCTCATCTGCTGGATGTTAACCAAAAGCTGTTAGCTGAATGTCATTACCTTTATAATGCACTGTAGCATTAGACTATTAGTGAGCAGATCCATAAAATTCAGTAGACAGTGTGAAACTACCCCAAATAGGAACTTCTAAAGAAGAAGCAGATCTGAGCCTTTCCTCTTCATAGGGCTTAATTTCCAGTTTTCAGTTTGCTTTTCTGTGGGCTAAATGAAACATTCATTTCTGAATAGGTATTTGACAAAGCTCTCCTTTTTGGAGAACATTTATTGTTGGACTGATCAGTATTATGGACTCTGAGAAATATTTTGGCATTTCTTTCTGGTCTTTCCCTTCTCTCTATTAATTATTCTATGTGAGATGTATTTCTGTCTGCACGAGAGGCTCAGAGTGCCCCCTGTAGAATAACCCGTGCTGCAATTTGCTTTTGCCTGGGGATGGTGATGCAGGTTCAAATCCCTTTGCCATCCCACGAGGGTGCTGTAACAGATTGAATGATTTAGTAAGCACGCACTGCAGAAGCACTGCCTCGTCTGGCTGTACTTTGTGCAGTGTAATCTCATATGTGTGGCTGCAGAATGCCTGCTGGATCAGACCTTGCTGAAAAATGGCAGGGATCCTGAGCTTGTGAGTCCTGAGGGATTTACCCTATTATTGGCTTCCATGCTGTGAACTGAATCTAGGAGTGCTTACAAGATGACTCAGTTTATGGTTGTTTACTGTTGAATTAAGTATCTGTAAGTGGTTAGGCACTCCCAGGATTAGGTTGGGAAAAGAAAAAAAAAGGAAAGAAAAAAAGTGAAGCATATGTTTGAAGGTCTTTATGTTTCAATTAGGTCCTTTTACAGATTGTTGAAAATCTCAGAGTCTTTGGGTCTAGCCCGGAGCACCTGGGCCTGCAAACCTTTGTGCAACATAGTGAATTTTCATGAAATTTATCAAACATGTTTACAGGATTAGAGCCTCATTCCCTGATGTACCGTCATTTTCTAAGTTTCTATGGGTCGAAACTACTTTTTAGTACTAAAATTGTTGCAATAACACAATAAGTTCTGTACCTTATGGTAAAGAAATGACTGG